ATGTACATGCACATGTATGTTTGAAATGTGTATGTCTATGGTCTGTGTGTGTGTGTGCATGGTGAGTTGTGTCTGTGTGTCTGAAGTGTGTGTCTAAGTTTCTGTGTGGTCTCTTTGGGTGCATGTCTGAATTATGTATGTGTGTGTGTGTGTGTGTGTGTGTGTGTGTGTACATCTAACATGACTGATATGGCTGCTTGGTTGTATGTACACACTGATGAGATTAGTCATGCACACACATGCCATATGTATACACATTTGAATGTGAGTTTCTCATTGATAATGTCCAGGGACAGCACACTGAGGCGCATAATGTATCCCACACTCCCTGTATGTCTTTCTTTCCAACTTCTTGTTACCATTCAGTACAGCATGTAATCTGTTTAATTATCTCTTACCTACCTCTTCCACCTCTACAGTGTAGGTCACATGAGGAATGTTTGTATCTTATCCATTTAGTTCTGAGTGCTTCCTAAAAAGATGTGTGGCACATGATACATAATAAATAGCTGGCTTAAGAAGTGCAAGGAGGGCTGGAGAGACAGCTCAGTGGTCTAAGCGCCTGCCCGCAAGCGTAAGGACCCAGGTTCGATCCCCCATGCTACAGGCCATGCCGGCCACCGAAACTGGGCCTGGTGGAGCACACATGTAATACCAGTGCTGGGGAGGCTGAGCCAGGAGGATCACTGTGAGTCGGAGCTGCATAGTGAGACTCTGCACCACATAATAGATAAATAAATAAATAAGATTTTAAAAAAAGAAGTGTAAGGAAATTTAGAAAATCAAAGCAAGGGTCTGGGGAGATGGCTCAGTAGACTAAGTGCTTGCCTGGTAAGCACAAGAGTCTGAGTTCAATCCCCAGTTCTACTAAATAAATAAATAAATAAATAAATATATTTGTTTCTTTTTCTTTTTTTTTTTTTTCTTTTTGGTGGAACCAGGGATTGAACTCAGATCCTTGCGTTTGACAGTCAAGTGCTTATTAAAATAAAAATAAATAAAAAAGTTCTAAAAAAAAGAAAATCAAAGCAAAATTAGTGGGTATCTTTATTGAAAGGTGCATTCTTTAGAATATACTCTTCTGGGTTGATTTTTCTCTAGCATTTTTGTTTTCTCTTTTACCTATCTTACAATGCTAGGATCTAGAGATAGCTAATAAAAATACAAGCAGTTCCTGTCTAAGGCATACACCTACGTTCATCTGCTGATGGTTTGTTTGAATCCCCACAGCAAGCCAATCCATTCCATCATTTCTTCACTCTAAGTTTATGATTTTTTTCAGTCCCTCCTTATTCCCTGATTGACAATGAGTGAAATGAAATCTTTGCACTGCCAATATTATATCTGTATGAGAGTCATGACTTCTACCTTTGGGAGAAATGAAGCATTTTCGTGTGTGCTGTGTGCATGGGTTTGCCTCTCGGTTTGTGGTACGTTTTAGGAACTAGCAATGCCTATCAGAACCCCCGCCCCCATCTGATGCAGTTGATCCTGGAGAAGCCCTAGGGGAGGAGGAACATGCCCCCTGGGGGGTCACCCTAGAGCAGGATGGAGAGTCACACGTAGGGAAATGTTGAGGGTCATGAAGTTCCCGTTTTCTGGTCCCAGGGCTCTATCAGAAGCACCCAGATTTCCTGCCTCCTCAGGACTCTGGGGCTCAGGGAAGCTGGGTTAGAAAGAAATTGCAGGAGGGGTCTTGACTGAAATCGGGGCGGGGGGAGCCTTGTGTAGCTGAGATCAACTAGCAGGAGACTGGAAGGTTCCAGGTAGAAACGCGAGAAAATACAGAAAGAGGAGGGAGGTGTCTTGAACCAAGAGAGAGAAAAATGGGCACAGATGGAGAAAGAAAAGCAGAAGCCTGCAGTCATCCAGACTGGCTGGGAGGAGAGCTGCACGCTAAAAAGAATTCTTATCTTCTGCCAAGGCCTTGAGCAGCGTACAATGCCACTCTTTGAATAGTTATGCGTTCCTACCAATGTCGCCCCAAGAAAGGGTTTGCTATTATCATCTAATTCCCAGGGATACCTGTGACTAACTAGTTACCTTCACCTCAAGAGAGCATAAATTCCTAGCTCATACCCGTGAAAGGGAAGCGGCCCAGCCTGGACAGTCCCGGACACCGCTAGCTACCTCCGTGGATCTCGGGCTCCTCCCACTTCTGCACAGGAGTCAGGCAAGGCTCGGTCGGCAGAGGGACGCTGTTCTCACTAAGACAACTTTTTCTAGTCAGGTGCAGAGGCACGTGCCTGCAATTACGGCCCTTGGAGAGGCTGAGCCAGGAGGACTGCAAGTTCAAGATCAGCCTGAGAAACCTAGGAAGACCCTGTTTTAAAAGGGGTTGGAATTGTAGGTCAATTTGATGGACAGACACAGAGATGGGGGAAGAGGGAGGGAAGAGGGAGGGAAGGAGGGAGGGAGGGAGGGAGGGAGGGAGAGAGAGAGAGAGAGAGAGAGAGAGAGAGAGAGAGAGAGAGAGAGAGAGAGAGTCCTTTCCTGCGGGAAGAAGGAGGGGCAAGGTGAGGTGGGATGGTGACGCTTTTGCTGACTGTGGTGCCAAAGCAAGATCACGCTGTGTTCAGGTGCTCCCAGCTCTGCAGAAAAGCCTGAGCCAAGGATGGGGAGATAGCTCGGTGGCAAGCGCAAGGACCTGGGTTCGATCCCTGGTACTGCATGCTGTGCCAGCCACTGAAACCAGGCATGGTCCCTGTACCAAACAAATATATAAATAAATAAAAGATAAAAAAAATTAGAAAGGCCTGACCCAGAATCGTAGAATCCTAGTACTAACCCAGGAGGGCAAAGGAATGGAGAGGAGAGGCCAGGTCTGTGGAGAGACGCTTGAGCCCATTTAGGACAGACAGGACTCAGCCATGCGGGTGTCTCCCTGCAGCCTGCCTGCCCCATGAGGAATGCCCCTGCTGGGGACAGCTTCGGGCTCCCACTGGCTGAGCTGCAGAGGGGCTGAGGTTGCTAGGTCCCTCTGCTTCCTGGTCTCAGTGCTGTTCTCTTAAGGATCTTGCCTCACATCGTTAACAAAGGACAAAGCCGGGAGTCAGAAACACCCGGCTCTGTGGCTGGGCTCCTTCTTCCAGTTCTTCCTCCCAGTCCCATGTCTCTGGGCCAGGAAGGAGGGTCTCAGACCTGGAGGTGATGTGTAGTATTTTGTGGCCACTTAATTCTGGCTCCCACGCATCCTTCTTTCTGGTGGTACTGGACCTGCCTAATACTGGACCTGCCTGATGTTGCGCAGGGGCTCCCCTTCTACCTGGAGGACCCCAGTGGGCGTCCCCAGCTGCCTTCTGTTGCAGGAGCAGACATCCAGAGAACCACTGCTGGTTCTGGGGGCCCTTTCCCTGCTCGTGGGTGCGGGTATGAGAAGGAGCCCGGATGCTGCCTGTACACTGTCCCTCTGATCCCTGGGCCCCAAACCGGCTGACCTTTGCACCACCTTTGAGTTATTTTTTCCATTGCCTGGCACATTTACAAAGGAATATTCTGGTATTGTGTCAATGATATAGTTTTGCAAGGAAAAGAGAAACAGGGAAACATGGGCTCTCACCCGGATCAGAGGCCTAAGGGTCAATTCTTAGGGTCCTAGCAGCAAGTTTGTCTGCATTGCCAGCCTGCCACTGTCCTTTTCAGAGTCCTCCCTCCATTGCACTGGGCCTGCTGACGACGTGGGAGTAGAGGATAGGCATCGGGCACTTCGGACGCAATGCTAGAATATTCCATTTATTTAGAGCTTCTTATCAATCTGTAGCCTAATAATTTCTCCTTTTTGTAGGGATGGTGAACGTGGGGCAGCTTCCGCACAGACTACTTTTCTATTATTTTAATTAGCCCTTTTAGGAGGGAGAGTACTGAGCCTCGTCCACCGTCTCCACCAGGACGTCTACTTCTGAGTTCATTTTGATGGATAGGAACTTCTGACCCGCTGAGGACATGGATGGACAGGGCCTCTTGGAGGAGGACAGGGACTACACATCAGTGAGGAATGTGTCACAGGGGCTGTAGAGAGGTTCGGATCAGAGGGGTAGGATACTGGGACGGAGGAGAGATGAGAACGGAGTAGGATGAACAGCAAAGCACAGCCCACGACTCGTAAACCAAGCTCTACTGGAACACGGCCATGTGCGTTCACCCGCGGATTGTCCTGCTGCTTGTGTGCTACAGGGGCAGCTCAGCACGGCTGCAACAGAGACTATGGCTCACGAAACCTAATTTATTTTTGTGCTGAGAACTGAACCCAGGCAGGTGCTGTGGCACTGAGCTACACCGTGGGCTAAAACACTGATTCAATGGCCCTTTACCAAAAGGTTTCAGGGGTCCTTTACAACATGACCTAGCAAGTCCTGGGGAAAACCCTATCAATTATTCTTTAGGATGGGAAGCTAGCAATGTATTCTGTGGTCATCTCCTGATGCTAACATATGGTTTTGCTGGCAACAGGACATAAAAGAGGCAGAAAAGGGTTAGTGATATAGCTCAGTGGACTAAGTGTCTATTGGCAAGAACACGGACAGTGGTTCAATTCCTGATCCGGCATGCCTTGCTGGCCCCGCCCCTGGTGCGTGCTGAGCCAGTGACCAAGTCTGGGCATGGTGGTGCACACTTATAATTCCAGTGCAGCAGAGGCTGAAAACTGGAGGATCACTACAAGTCCAAACGGCGTAGTGAGACTCTGTACCAAATACATAAATGAAGAGGAAAAGAAAGAGCCAGAAAATCTGAGAGAGATGAGATGGAAGAAAGGGAGGACTTAAGGAGTGGAGACAGAGTGGTGCAGGAGGGGATGTTGAGTCAGGGAAGGGCTTGGGGCAGGGAATGAGTCTGACTCCTGCTGATACAGGTTCTGGGCTGGGACACCCCAGCCTCTGGGCTACACAGCCCAAGGGGAAGATGGAGCATCTTCCAAGCATTCTTTATTTAATCCTCATGGCAACCTTGTGAAGCAGAACCCCTCACACCCACTTACAGAGCAGGAGACGGAGAGGTGTTCAGAAAACAGGAGCGCAGAGGACTCACCCAACCCTCTCTGACTGCAAAGTCTTAAGATTCACGTCACGGGAAACTCACTGCAGCCGTTTAGCAACTCGGCATCCGTGAGGAGGTCGCAGCACCAGGAGTCAGCCTTCGGGGGCTAAGGTGTCCAGCAGGGGCTAAGAGTCCTGGCTCAGACCCGCGTTCTCGTCAGCCCTTCCGTGGGGCCTGATCGTGGAGTACTCGGTGGAGGGTTCCTTCCGAGGGTGGAAGGTCACCGACGCGTAGTGGAGCTCGAAGTCCTCCCCTGAGGCAGGCGTGGCCTCTGGGGCTGCTGGGGGCCCAGCTGGAGACTCCGGGGGGTGCGCCTGTGTGGAGAAGAGAGGAGAGGATCACAGCAGAGCAGCGGGAAGGGGAAGCTGGCCTGGCAGAGCGGGTCCGTGAGGTGAATCTCAGGCAGGCAGAACATTTATTCACCTCTCAGTCTTCTTCTGTTTTTCTTACCTTAAGGGCCTCACTGCGCAGCTCTGCCTCACAGGGACCCTCTTGCCTTCAGTCTCCCCAGCGCTGGGATTACAGGCCCACCCCCGCACTCTGGGGGCAGGGCTCTCGCGCATGTGGTCCCGGGCATCGAACCACGGTCCCTGGGCTTTGCCTAAACCTGCCTCAGCAGGTGCTTTAGTCCACTGAGCTATCTCACCGGCTCGGCCCTCTCATTCTTCTATCAAACACTTTTGAAGATATGGCTTATTCAGTTATCCAACATACACAACACACATTTTTGCTTTCTGATTTGAAATGCTCATGGAAAATCCTATTATTGTGCCCAGTTTCCTGATGGGGCAACTAAACCTGAGGGGGATCATGTACTTAGAGAGGTTACTTATCCTTTGATCATGTGATCAACCATGCTGTCCCTGAGACCCCCGTGTGTGCTCAGCAGTGTCTACACAGGACAGGAGCAATGTGGACACGGGCCCTGATGAAGGAGGTTAAGATAATATCTCAAGGAGGTGAAGATAAATATCGCAAAACAAATATGTGCTGCCCCCGTCCCTCCGTGCTGGGGAGCAGGAGAGAAGCAGAACTAGGAGAGGTTTCAGACCTGACCTTGTCCCATGGAGACAGAGCCGCACAGGTAGCCCAGACTGCACAGCCACAGGGAGAGAGGAGCCCTCCTGGGTGGGTGATGGGGCCTTGTGCGTGGGAGCTTGGCTCCTGTGCTCCTAGAAACCTCAAGACTGACAAAGCAGAAGCATTTTCTTCTGCAAGCCTACTTCTCAGCCCTAGACTGACCGCAGGGTTTCTTAGAAGCGTTCCAAAACTCACAACATGCACTTCCTCTCTTCCCCTTCTCTCATGAGCTTTGTATGTGGCCTCATCCCTTTTTTGGCTTCATCTACCACGGGGCCTTCTTGTGGAGCAACCCCAGACTCTGTGTCCTCCTGGATCCCTCGTCTTACCCCAAACTATGGCCATTTGTGGTTACCAGTTGGATTCTCAGAGGTTCCTCGAACAAAATGATGCCTGATTTGTTTTCTTGAACAATTTCTCCTCCTGCAGGCCTGGCTGCTTCAGACACTGGCAATTCAGTTATTTATCATAGCCTGGGACACATATAGACATCTGTGACACCAACAGAAGTTTGTCCTCCATAGTATCTATGAGGTAGAGGCAGTATGCTGTATCAACACATGCCCCCTGTTAATTCTTCACTTTATTAGCAGAATTCATTGGCTCAACCTTCAAGAAGTATCCAGAATCCACTTTCCTACAAAGCCTCACCTTTGGCCCCCTGTATACTATGCCGTGCTGGCTTACTCATGTCTCCTATCTGGCTTCCTCTCATGCACCCCACCTGGGGTAGGATTTCTTAACACCACAGAGTGATCCATTTGTGTTACTCTTCTGCTCAAAAGACATAATTATCATGGCTTTAAAAAATACAGATATGCCCCAAGCACCTAGAAGAATTGGCACTTGGGAGCCTATTATTCGCTGAAGGACAGGATGAATGCGCAGGTATTGCTGACTTTGGATTCAAAATCCTTTTAGCGATGTTCATATTAGTCACAATTATGAAAATAAATGAGAACCAGAGCTCGGGTGATGGACAGAATTGGGCAGGTTGACCTGGCCCTGGATGGAGGAGGGGGCAGCTGAGCCAGGGTCCTGAGAGGGAGGGAGCTTCCTCAGCTTAAGGGCAGGGAGAAGGCCATGTACTGAAAGTGTCCCTGATTTTCCTGCCCCAAATTCCCACCCACATGGTTTGCATGACTGTCTTTTAGCAGCGCAGAGCATTTCATAACCGGAGGCGGTTGGGCAGTAACCCTGTGTGGGTAACGCTAGGTTATGGAAGAGCAATACAAAAGAGGAACTGCAGCAGGTTTGGAGAAGAGAGAGGAACTTAACTCAAGGGCAGAACTTGGGTTCCTGTGTCAGAAGAGCCATCGACCACTTTCGGGGCTTATTAACCGAGAAAGAGGGGACGGTGAATGGGGGTGGAATGGGGCCAGGTGTCTGGTTGAGTTACACGGACAGGACTGCCATCATTTGCGAAAGCCAGCAGGAGGAGCACACCCAGGGGTGTGTTAGCTCCATGTTGTGATGTCCTGCCATGCAGGCCCTGGCTGCTGGAGAGGCTGCTTCTACCAGGGACAGCTGGTGTCTGCAGACAGTAAAGGACCCAGGCACAAGTGCGTCACTGCTGTGCTAAAGAACAGGACCCATAGCCCACACTTATGTACATCCTTTGTGGAGCGCTAACACTCACGGTCATGAGCCTTCTGCCCTACTCACTCCAGGCCCGGTGCCAGGCGACTGGAGACAGGGCTGTGTCGGGAGCCGGGGCTGTTCACCCCAGAGCCCCCTGAGGTTGTGCAGTGCAGCCAGGCTCAACCTGGCAGAACCTGCGTTCCCTGTCTCCCCCTTTCTGCTCATGAAGACTATACATCTGCCCCTACTCTGCCTCCTGGTCACCCTGGTGCTTCCCCGTACACCCTTCTGAGGCATGGCCTTGCCATGCTTGTGTCCCTTGGGATCTGTAAGTCACAAACAGTCTTTCCTTTTGCAGCCATCTCCTGGCTGATGGACCTTGTCATGCCTAATAAAACGGAAACATAAGTTGTAAAGCAGGCGGCCGGTAGCCAGTGTCTTCTGCAAGCCTATTTCTCAGCCCGTCCTGAAGGCAGTTAATGGGGTATAATAGCGAGCTGCATCATGGGGGCGTGTGGAGGGCAGCCTGAATCTCGGGGTGGCCATGTCACTCACCAGCGAGCCTGGCTTGGTGGCGGCTTCACCGTGCTTCGTGTCCCCTGCTGTTGTGGGTGCTTTTTTCTTGAAGGTCTTCACTCTGAGGGGTGACAGTAGGGGCTTTACGCCTGGTCTCCTCAGACTTGGGGGCGCTATTACGAGCCGGGACAAGTGGCTGTGGCAGGCACAGCGTAGCACTTGCCTGGTGGCTTTAATAACAAGGCATCGCACAAGGGTCCTTTCTCCCCACTCGCCCCCACTTCCTGGGCAGCTGGGCTGGGGCTGGGGCCAGAGCAGGCCTGCCCAGCAGCTACAGCTTGGACTCTCAGCTCCCCCAGCTCCAGCCCTGCCTTGGCCAGCCCATCCCCCACCAGGCCCAGAACTAGGGCTCACATGAAGAAGATGGCACAGAGACAGACAGCGAGCAGGGCTGTGACACCAGCTCCTCCGATGGCCCCCTGAACCACTCCCGATATGGCTTTCGTCTTGTGGTTCCCTGCCAAGAAAGGAGAACTGGACTGAACCCCAATCATGACGAACAGAGGTGCGGCCCCTTCTCTTCATCACTAAGGGAGCCTCTCACTTCCAAGATGAAGCTCAGCCCCCTGAGTCCTCTCACATCTCCCGACCTCAGCCTTGTCCAGAGCCTTGAGATGAAGGGCATGGTCCACCCTATACCTCCTGTCCAGCAAATCCTTCTCACCCAAGACCCAGCTTCCTCTCTGCATCAGACCTCAGACTTGGCTGAAGCAGGAGAAGGGCACTCTGGGCCCTGTGGACCTTCTGCTAGAGAGTGACAGGTCACAAAGAGCCATGAGATGTTGCTGACCTGGTCCCTCCTTCCTTCCTTCGTCTCCTCACCTGGTCTCCATTGGCCTGGTTTCTTGGGGTTAAGTGGGTCCATTATGCCCGCAGTAGGTATCAGAGGTAAAGCAGAACAAGGAGGCATTCATTCACTGAACCTTTGAGTCAGGCACAGGCAGCCCACCTGGGCCCAGCTGGCTGCACTTCAGGGGATCGCAGCACACAGAGTCAGGGACATGTATCTGGGCCTCACCTGGTGACAGCTGAGCAGCACTGTGAGGGAACTTCCCTGTCCTGACAGTGCCACTTATCCAGAGGAAGGCAGATATCCTTATCAGTGGAGCAGGGGAGAAGTAGTGGGGTGATCCTTGCAAGAAGTTAGGGTGAAGGGTTGAAACAAAAGAAGTGTGTCCCAAAGGGATGTTCATTGTGTATGAAACACTACTATGGTGAAAACCCAAGGAATGCAAGACACCAAGGCTGACCTCTGGTGTGGCCTTGAGTTCCAGGTGACAGTGCTGTGTGTGTGGGGTCACCGCTTGTAATGATGGACCACGCAGATGCTGCACTCTGACAGGAGGGCACTGTGCTCAGGTGAGAGCAGGGGAACATGGGAAATTCCTGCATTTACTTGACACTCAGATTGGCTGAGAACACCACGCTGCTCAAAATGCTGAAAGGCACTTTAAAATCACTCCCAGCACTCACTGCCTGGAGTGAGATAAAAAGCATCCTTTAGGATAGGACAGGAAGAGATTGCTTCTCACCCATGAATGTCCTCACCCCCAACCACGGGCCTGTGGGGTTGCTCATGATTAGGTGCCAACCTCTCAGGATCTGAGGCCTGAGAAAACACATCTGACCAAACCTGGTACAGGAATAAAGCAGTAGTAGCTCCACGGGGGGAATGTCTCGTTATGTGGGCCAGAACCTGGGGAGACCCTGACTGTGGGGTTCCTCTGGAAGCTCTAGACAGGAAGAGAAGGTTTGCTTCGTTCTTGACTAAGGGGAGGAGGAGGCAATACAGCAGCATCCCCATCCCCAGGAACACATTCAAATGACAAGGGACAGGACAGAACTTCTAAATCCCCTGCATAACCAGGAATCTTGCACAGAGTGAAGGAGCTCTGAGCCCCTGTCTTCCTGGCCTTCACAGGCCCGGCAACTGGGGTACCCGGCAGAGTACTCACCACTGACGTTGAGCAGCACGGTCTGCTCTACGCTCACACCAACAGCAGGGAACATCACCTGACACGTGAGGTTGGTGCCATGGTCCTGGGGCCTGGGGCTCAGGGTGAGCACAGAGGAGTGGCTGGTCCTGGGACCCAGAGTGGTGAGGGCAGCTGACCTCCAGGAGAAGATGGGGGGTGTCCCCTGCTTACAGGCCCAGGGCACAGAGCAGGTCAGGTTGCTGGGGCGGCCAGGCATGAGGGTCCCAGGGATGAGGATGTCGGGGGTGTGGGTCAGGGCTGGGAGGAGAGGGAACAACAATCAGGAGGGAAGGGTTAAGAAGCACAGGCCCCAACCCAGCTTTTCCTGAGGTCCTAATACTTGAATCCCAGCCCTGCCACAGACAGCATTCATCCCAGCCAAATCCAGAGGCCGCCACCACCTGTGCCTGGTGCCCAGGACTTACCTGTCACATTCACAGAGACCAGGTCTGCACAGTAACTCCATTGTACACTTCCTGAGTCCACCCGAAAGAAGTATGAGCCACTGTCACCCTTCTGTGCGTCTCTGATGTGCAGGGAGCAGTTCTTGGGCTGTGTCTTCAGGAAGAGGCGGAACCGGCCCTGAGTTCTATCCTGCACTTGGCGTTGGGGGTCATTTGTGGCCACAGGGGAGTCATGACTTATATCAGCCCCTTCCTCAAACCAGTAGCTAGGGACAGTCATGGAGTTCACTCGAGAGTCCGGGTTTTTGCAGGGCACGAGGACACACTGGCCCTCCTGGACACTCACTGACTTGGGCACCTCCAGCCTGTAGCTCAGACTGTCAAGCGAGCACCTTGAGGGTAAACGACGCTCAGCTCTTCCCAGCCCCCACTGCCCTTCTCCCTGCATCCACAGCAGCAGCAGCAGGGGCAGCAGCATCTCAGAGCTCACTGTCCTGGCTCCTCTGTTCGCACCGAAGGACACAGTGTGGAGGGGAAGTGCTGTGTGAGCCTTGCAAGTCAGGGTGGAGCAAGAGCTGGGCGGTTCACAGAAGAGGAACTCAAACCATTGCCCTGTGCAAGCAGCCCCATCTCACAGAATGGAAGTAGGGCAGAGAAACACCCAGAGAGAAGACAGGGGCAGAGCCTTCCTCCTGGCCCCATCCTGGAAGCTTGTTTGCGCACTGGGCTGGCCAGGGATGTGGGGATACCTGAGAGAGAGAGTCACGAGCGAGGGTCAGGCCGCCTCCCTCCTGGCTGGCCCAGCAAGGATGCACCTTTTCCTATGTGGAGGTGTGAATGGTGAAGAAGGAGAAAGGATTCTGAACGCTGTTTGTGTCCGGGACAGAAGAAAGGAGGAGGCATCCTCAGGAAAGTGTGTGCACAAGTTCACTGTTCATTCTCTCAGCAACACGCAGGGAGCCTGAAGCGTGTGTGCCGCTGGACACGAGAGGACCAGGGAAGCCCTGAGCCTGAGCCTGCGCTGGCCAACGCTGGAGCTTCCAGGCCACAGATCAGGGTGGCAGGCTGAGAGCACCTTACGACAGGAGGAAGACTTTGCTCTGCACGCGCAGTACAGAGGCGCCCGCAGAGCAACACCTCGAGGCACAAGCAGGCAGCGTGTTCACGTCACACAGAGAGAACATGAGCTGTGTCCACGCAGAAGAAAGTCCTTGTGCACCTGTGCTCGGTGGGACGCAGTGAGCTTCACTCGGTCTTCAGCATACAGAAGTGCTAGTTAATCTTGGCCTCAGCTCACAGGGAGCTCTAGCTCTCTACTTGGGCCTACCCGGTGAATCAGATCCCCTCTTCCCAGATGTGTGTCATGCAGGAAGTCACTCACGTGCCAGGACATGGAAGGGCAAAGATGATGAGAGGAGACAGGGCTGGGAACCCCGGGGGTGCATAATTTCACAGGGCATCTCTGAGGGCACAGCGGGGCTCCCACAGTGCCAGGCCTTGGAGCTGAACCTTCTCAATACTGTCATTTTGCTAAGCAGAGCTTTGCAGATGGCGCTGTGTGCACTTCCTCGGGCTGCACAGTCCTTCCTGGACCGTCGAGACAGTGCCTGTGTACAATCACAATGGCCGTGTCCTGGAGAAGCTGAGGAACAGCAGACAGGCTGCCCGGGATGAGGGCTCCTGCCCATGGATGCTGAGAGCGAGGGGGCAGGGCCCAGAGCCACAGGAGACAGGACCCTCCAACAGATGAGTGGTGGCGTGGAGTCCGGGGAGGCCACCCACGGGACCCTTGGATCTGCCCCGGGACCCTGACTTCAGAAATAGGAGAGAGACAGGACCTTCATTTCACAGTCATGGAGATTCAATGACATGTCCTCATCCTCGGATGGCTGCCTCAGAGAAAGCGACACACACAGACTCACACACACACAGAACACAGGTACACACGCAGGCACACCCATGCAGTTATTCAGTCTGAGACAGCAAGGACGTCCGGACCTCTCCCATGGCGCGGATGAATTCCAGGACATGAGGAACGTTCAGTGCACGGAGACCCAATTTCACATCAGGAGATATCATGTGAAATCAGAAAAGCTCAAATTCATGAAAGCAAGAGGAGACTAATGCTGGGCAGATGCTTGGGAGCGGGAGGAAGGGGGAAGGTTCGGCAAGGAGCTCTGGTTCTTCTGGGATAGGAGGAGCGCGTTCTGGAAGCGCTGCCCAGGGGCGTGTCATTAATGATGATGTGCTGTGTATTTCCAAATTGTTATTCCAGGAGATTTCCCAAAATCATCTTTTCTTTATTAATTTTATTGAGAAAGAAATAGCAATGAGACAGTTTCAGAGCCGATTAGTAGGACAGTTACAATAATTAATGCACTGCGTATTGTTGTCTTCATAGTAGTTATTCATAGTACAAGATGCAGACACGATATCCTGTCCACACTAGTAGTACAAATCTTTCTTCTCACTGAATTAAGAGAGAGTGGCTATATATGTATCCTAACTATTTTGTGTTTACAGATACAAAATGGACCTTCATTTATATCCCCTTTTTGGGTTTAGCGTTGTCAGAGTTGGGTATTCCATTGCCATTTAAATATTCACAACACAGCACAAAAGCAATCCTCCGAACTGCAGCGCAGTCTAGATTCGCACAGGATGTGCCAGGTCCCACCGCAGAGGTGCTGGCGGCCTCGAGCAGTCACTCAAGTGTCAGCGTCCTCCTCACAGAGCAGGGTGAGTGGATCTCGGAACAGCACATGCGCGCATCTGGTGTTAGCACGCGTGCATCTGGTGTTAGCACTTCTGTTCATTTGTCTGATAATGATGCTGGTAAATGCCATATATTTTCTCAGTTACAACTGAGTATCAGAGAACTAAGGACTGCACATATCACGAGTCAATCTAAAAATTATTGTAATTAATCCATAAAGATAAAATGTTGATAGAAAGGTGACAGTGAATGAGCGTGCTTCATCCTCAGCCCCTGTGATCACCCCTGTCCCTCCTCCACTGGGTCTCCCTTCACCCCAGTTGTGTGCTGCGGCACTACAGCCTGTGCCCTCTGCTCGCCCCATGCTTTCACGAGCTCACTGCCTGGATCCGCAGCTGGCTGTCATGAGCCTCTCACCATGCCCATCCTTCCTCACAGGTTCTCTCCCTGACTGACTTCCTCCCTCAGCTGAGGTCCCTCAAGCACTGTCTTTGGGCCCTTTTGTCCTTCCTGAGCACACCGAGGAGGATCTCTAGTGGGAGAAGGGTATCTGGAATGACTGAGGCCGTAACACCCAGGAGCAGCTTGGAATGTGCTCAGCGCAGTGCGCAGGAACTCAGACGAGAATGCAGAAACAGTGTCAGCCAGCAGAGAGCAACCCGAGGGGGAAGCCCGTGGATGAGATGTCATATGAGAGGGGCGCATACAGTAATTCCGGACAGATTCTTGAGAACACGGCATGCTGGGAAAACTTACGTCTGCCGAGGCTTCCTGCCAGCGGCCTGAGGTGACCTGTGAAAATGACTCGCTACTCTCTCGACCCAGAAAACCCGACAAAATTATGCAAATCAAGAGGCTCAAATCTTCTCGTTCACTTCAAGAACACGCATGAAACTGCCCAGGCCATCAAGGTATGCATATCTGAAAGGCCACCACGTATCTGAAGGATGTCACATTCAGGAAGCAGTGTGTGCCATTCCAGCGTTACAATGGTGCAGCTGGTAGGTGTGGCCAGACCAAACATGGGGCTGCACACAGGGTCGGTGGCCCAAGAAGAGTGCTGTATTTTTGCTGGAAATGTTTAAAAATGCAGAGAGTAATGGGGAGCTTAAGGGTTTAGATGGAAGTGTTTGTAAATAGGATATCATGTCCGCATCTTGTGCAGCAATTAACCACTAGGAAGAATGTATGCAATGTGTTTATTATTGAAACTGTCCTACCAAAATGGTTTGAAACTGTCTCATTGCTATTTGTTTCTCAATAAAATGTGGGAAAAAATAAAAAGTAAAAAAATTAAGGGTTTAGATGTAGATTCTCTGGTTATTGAACATATCCAGGTACACAAGGCACCCAAGATGCGCCGCCGTACTTATAGAGCTCAGGACCGCATTAACCCAACCATGAGCTCCCCCTGCCTTACTGAGATGCTCCTTACTGAAAAGGAACAAATTGTTCCTAAACCAGAGGAGGAAGTTGCACAGAAGAAAAAGATATCCCAGAAGAAGCTGCAGCAACAAAAAACTTATGGCACAGGAATGAATTAAATGCAAATAAAGTAAATGCATATAGTAAATAAATGCATAAAGTAAATGCAAATAAATTTTAAAAAATCTGCACAGGGAGGAAAGCTCAGCCAGGCCAGCTATTGGTACACAGCCCAGCAGAGACAGCCCAGGGTCCACTCGGCCTAACTCTGCTCTGACTGGCACTCGAGGCCCAGCTGGGAAGGTACTAAAAAGACGGAGTCTTTGTACATGTGGCCATTGAGGAAAGTGGAGAAATAATGGAGACCAGAGAATCACTCAGAGAACACTGACTGTGTCAGGACCTGTGAGCTCTCCGGGGAGCTAGGAGCAAGGGGCAGGGTCCTGCTTATGGACCAGAGCCAGACTTCGAGAGGTGTCTGTGAGACACCCAGAATGGCAGGAGACTGCAGTGCCCCAAATTCAGAGGAGCGCTGATGACTGCTTGTGTTTCCCCCACTGGCGTCATGGTAGTGATGGGGAGCATGCGGGGGAGCAGAGCGAGCAGGCACTTTCACAGCACCCACCACTGCCACGGAGCTCCAGGCCCTGCCCGCTCTGCCCAGGATCCACTGAGCCCCAAGGATCTGCACACAGAGCCCCTGTCCTCCTCTGTACCCTCAATGCCACTGAAGTCAAGGCTGGAGAGAGCTCCCTGTGCAGCCAAGCACCTGGCATAGGAGATCACAGGGGTGAAGAAAACCCCCATCTGTGCCCCTGAAACCATGTGCTGTTGGCTCCCGGTAGCCACTAAGATCTGGATTCATAGCGAAACCTGACAATATGAGTATTACTTTGACATCTGAAGCAAAGGTACAGAGAAAAGCTACCAGAGTGGCCTGCGGGGATGAGGTCACTGCTTCTGGGTCTATCAAAGGATATCTAGGAAGTTGCCCGAGAGGAAGGTTATGTACTGCTAGCGATGACCGCAGAGAGCCTGCGAGCTGGGATGGTCACCTAGGCAGAGGGGCTTCGGGGTCAGTGACAGAACACAAGCAGGACCGTGAGGTTCTGACCTCTGTGTGTGAGAAGAGCTGGGATCCTGCAGCGCTGTGAAGACAAATGACTGCTCGTGGACGGATAGCTGCTGGCCAACTTGTTCCACCGAGATGACCTGAGTCAGTGTGGTGAGGGGATGTCAGACCCACCTGAGGACTGCTGAGAACAGTGTAAGAAGGAATATGGGGGCTGTGGCTTCTCCTGAGGAACTTGTCATGCTGGCTTTCGTGTTATGAACTCTGCTGCTCTCATGGCCGCAGG